CATCTGCGAGCAAACAGTGAGTTTGTTTAGTGTCTTAGTCTTAGTTCCTCTCGTTCCGTTGGGAACATTGGTCAGCGAGACCTCGCCATCTGCCTCTGTCATGAGCAGTTTAGTGTACTTAGCATTATTTTCTTTCTTTTCTTATATAAGAGTTAGCTCTATAGATTCATCTTAACTTGGAAACACTCTTTATCATACACTCTTGGTATGGTAGTCTAGGTTACAAGAGGACGAAAAGAGATAATAGGGGCTTTTGGCTTAACAAAGTCTTCAACACTCTGGCTAGTCACACCAGTCCTTTTGTTTCCCTTTCTCTTTTTTTTTATACCTACACAGTCACTTGTTCTGTAGTATGTGTGTGTTTTATTATAGCAAAGCCACACTGGGCTATCTGCTGTGTCTACTGAAGGAAATTGAACCTCTTATTTTAGCATCATAAATCCAAAGACTGTCCTCTTGTAATCTGTGGTACTGCCTTGAATTGTACAATAGGGTAATATTCTTTGTACTATAAATTTTGATACGATATCTTACCTCTTCGCACAAAATAGCTTTTCTCGATTAGTACTGCCCTCTATAGGTACTAATTTTTAATGCTCACCACTAGCTTTCCACCTCCTACTTCTGCATATCCACATGCAAATGATCATGCAACAGCTCTCCACCAATAGGAGTGCAACACTACCCTTATCGCAACCAGTGCCCTCTTCACATTTGCACTCATTGATCACTTCTCGATTAGCAGTACTACTGTACAGACGTGTTGGTTTTTGCTCATGGATTTGTCAACATTTTCCTTTATAACACTGACTTAGTTTCTCTTTACTATATATCTAAATTTTCACATTTTGGACTTACGAAAAACTGCTTTTACCAACTTTTATTACTTTTTTAGAGGCCTTTTGATCTTGTTGATCCCACTCTGTGGCAAGTGGTACCTGACCAGGTATATTTTTTTTTATCTGAAGTCTGCACTGTCCATATGGTGACCATGCTTGATGTCCATTACATTGTAGCCCTTCCTCCTGATGTTCAATTTCAGATGCTGCCAGGTATTGGTTGTGTGTGTGTGTGTGTGTCTGTTCCATTGTCATCTATGCCTAAACAATTATGTCGCAGAATTGGGCTATGCACACCGTAGAGATGAGGTGTGCCATAGGACTGCTAGTAGTTCTCTGTAGTGGTTTTTTGCTTCATAAATATGTTCGTCCTAGACCGTACCCTCCTGGACTAACATGAGTAAAGCAGACAGAGATGGCTGCCCTTCTCTAATGCTCCATAGCATTGAGAGTCTTCCTACCACAGACAATTCCAGATGCTGCCTAGTTTTAGTTTAAAATTTCTATCAACATGGTAACTCTGCTTTTCAAAATAGGGTATCGATGCCACCTGTTGCACTGTTTCTGGTGATGCTGTCCTCAAGACTCTCCAACACGTTTTTTCCCCTCCTTTCTTCTAGTGGAGTATGGGAGTCATTACCCTTACCAGTTCCTAGCTGCTGGGATGGTGGACCATGGAAGCCTGTCCTCCTGAGTGATGAATCATACCACTCAGTTGAGAGTAGGGCAGTGGCACCCTGCAGGTGTTGATGGTGTATAGCACTTCCAACCATGGATCTAATGTACAATTCCAGATGCTGCCAGGTTTTAGTTGCAGCACTACGCCATATTCCTGTCTATATATCTCACTGATTGTTTTTTCCTACTGTGGCATTACTCCATGTTTTCCTCCAGACGTACATTCCTGGTGGGTCTGGTATTGGTTGGAAATGACCTGGTCATGATTAGAATCATGTGTCAATGGTGTAATGCCTTTTCTAGTGCAGACCTGATGTACAATTCCAGAGGCCATCAGATTTTGGTTGAAGCACTCTGCCATGTCACAAATATATAGCTATATTTGCAGTTTGCTCCTCAGGCTGAGATGTTCCTCCTCCCTACTATTCTCCAGATGTACATTACATCCTGGTGGGCCCAGTGTTGGTTGGAGATGGTCCAGCTGAATAATTTCTCACATGTCTGCTATCTGGTGTCCCTCCTCCTACTGTGGGCTGGATGATAAATGCCCATTGCTGCCAGGTTTTGGACTGTAGATGCACCTGAAGTTTGAGGTCCCCCTTCCTACCGTGTTGGTTGAAGCTTGACGCAGCACGTTTTCCCACTTGTGCACAGCCACGTATTCTCCTCGTACTGTAAGTACCATACCCATTGCTGCTAGGTTTTGGACCAGAGATGTCATTTTGCCAGTGCTTTCCACATTTTTTCTGTCCACTGGATGTTGGTTCCTGATCGAACTAGTGTTGGTTGTGTTGGAAATGTATGCAAGTGGAGATTGATTTTGTTATGGAAGCTCATCTTCCCTACCAATTCTTGTTTCAAGGTGAAGAGGTAGGTGATCCTCTACCTACCATGGATCGGATGTACCATTCCAGATACCACCTGGTGTTAGATGAGGTTGAACTACCACTAAGGTCTGTTGTGCCTTAGCCACTTGACACCCTGTGGTCCCATTACTCTGTCATACATATTCTGGGATTCCTTCATATTTGCTTTTTACTTTTGCAACATAGTCATAAAAGAACAAAGAGTATACCTGGATCAGATGTGGTGTGGTCTCCCACTGAGATGTGATGTTTTCTTTTGTGGTTCCACACTTCCTGATCTCTCTTTGAGCATTTCCTAAAAGAGGATCATTTTACCGGCCCTCAACCAGTTCAGTGCGGGATTCTAGCTATTTTGTGAGAGGAGATAAAATATCATATTGGAAGTTAGCATTTTTCTACACTGAAAATGTATTTCAGAAGTGATTAACAAGTGCAAGTTTGAAGAGGATGCTTGTCACAATAGGGGTTGTGTCATGTTCCTATTGGTGGAGAGCTGCTGCATGATTATTTGCATGTGGATATGCAGAAGTAAGAGGTGGATGGCTAGTAGCGAGCATTAAAAATTTGTGCCAATAGAGAGCAGTACTAATTATGAAAAGCTATTTGGTGAGTGAAGTTAAGTATCTATCAGAAATACATTTTCAGTGTAGGAAAATGCTAACTTGTGGGGACTTTTATTGTGACCCAGCTGTCACATCTGTTAAGAAACACACTTGCAAATGAGATCTGCAAATTTCTTGTTTTTTAGGCTCGGACTTCTCTGCTTTATAAAAAAAAACCTTGAGATACCATGGATATCTTCATAGAGTGATTCAACCAGAACACAAAGATCCTTTTCTTTTATAAAACATTTCAGATTATTATCATCGAAATTATATTTATAATTTAAATCATCAGCAAAGTTAAGCAAGTTATTCAGCATTCATTTATCTATGTTTTTGATGTACTACAAAAAGAGGAAAGGTCCCACTACTGAACCCTGAGGTACCCCACTTGTGATAATAAACCAGTTTGACTGATCTCCACTTATAACAACTCTCTTCCCTCTGGCCAATGTTCAGTCTAAAGAGCCACGTTATTCCTCACATCCAAAGAGAGAGAATATTTGAAAATATTTTTATGGGACACCTTCTCAAATGCTTTCCAGAAGTCCAGATATACCAAATCTGCTCTCTCACCCTATTCTATATAAGCAGTACCCTCACAAAAGAATCTCAAAAGATTATTAAGGCAAGACTTTCAATCCCCTGGCACCTGCCCACTACTAAAAATTACAATGAATATTAGCAAGTGGTTCACATATCCATTCATTAAGCTCTCAAAATCTTTCAATATTTTTATGTGTTGTTAGGTAATGAAGGGTATTATATCCCTTACCAGTGAGGTAGCTATAGGGCCAGATTAGGTGAGGGACAAGTGTGTGCAATTATGTGGGAGGCAATAGGAAGCAGTTTCCTCCCACTTTTTTATGTGGGTTCTAATATATACACAATATTCACAGTAATTAAGTCAGATTTTTTTGTCCCTCTACATTTTGGTCCCATATCCCATGAATGGGTGCAATTGATCTATGACCCCTGACTTAGAGAAAAATAAATTAAAAATTGGATGTCTCATTGAATAATATGTTTGTAACTGTGTCATTATGATAATGTAATGTTAGTTATTTAATATAAACTTATTATTTTTTAATGTTTTATCAATGTGTTCCTGCAGTCTCTTTCATAAATATTTGCTCAAACCTTTAACAGAACAATTCCTTGCCATTACTTTATCATAAAAATTCATTATCTTTATATTTATAATATAAATATTAGAATTAATATTTTGTATATTATCTACCCATTGCTTGTGTTTGTGTAGTGCACAAATTGTAGATAGTAGTACAGAATTGTATTTGACTCATTTATGAAGTTCAATTTTGAGCCCCCCCTCCCCATTACAAAATTTGTCTCTGGTCCATCAAGTATTTAATCCAGCCCTGTGTAGCTAATAGGAATTATTAAATAGTGGGTTATTGTTCAGTGAATTATTAATAGTGAAGAAAACACTTAAATAGCATAGAAGAAATAAAGAGATTGAATGATTGACTCGTTTCAGTGAATATAATGATTTTACATTCTTGTAAATATAGGATAGCTATGTAAGGAGGAAGAAATGATAATTATACTTATAAACATGTAAGCCTTGTAAGGCTTTATTTTTTAAATCAATGTTTAGGAGTGACAAAATGCATTGTGTAGATATCACTTAAAATGCTATAATTAGTAACTGATCAGGATGATATTAGGCAAACACACTGATTTATAAGCATAAGGAAGAGTTTTATTGAAGGTGGAACATACTGCATGTTTTGACACACCAACGTTTTGTTGAAACATGTAGTATTATCCACCAGTAATAAAACTCTTCCTTATGCTTATAAATTGTTGTTTGCCTGTCTGTTATTATATTAGCATAATGTGCTTCCTTACTCAAATATCTTAGCAGAAGTCAGTTAAGCCAGAATGTTTTTTTTAAAATCAAAAACAAGGCATAAAGTTTTACATATTTAGTTTACTGTGGTATATTATTTTTTACTCTATAAAAGTTGTATTTTGTTCTTTGTGCACTTTAGGTATTCAACAATAGCTGAGCCAAGTCAGAAGTCTGATCAAAACTTATCACCACCTGTTCCTCCTAAAAATTTAGAGGAATTATATGCAAAACCACAAAAACAGGTAGATATTTTTATTTTTGCATGACTTTTATTGATCTGTCCAGTTGTCCATTCATATAATAGGATCAATGACATCTACAAATATATCATTATGATGATAAAAAAAATGTTGATATATTTTTCGCTTTGTCTTTTCAGTCATATATTAGGTTTATTGTTGTTGTTTTTTTATCTTTTCATTGGGGAAATACTTTTTGTAAATTTTATATGACAATTTGTAATTTTTCACTAAAAGTTTTCTGATGTTAAATAGAAGCCAAGTGTTTCATGGAACAAAGAGATACCAGGTGAACCAGGTTTGGCTTCTCATCAAGAGATTACTACTTCACAGGTGGATGCTCTTCAGTCTTTGAAATGCATCAAAACCCAGGTACAGACTTTTTCTCTTCAATCTTTTAAATACAGTAAAACATTTGGTTGTAAATTCTCTTTTTCAAACAAAATACTTCAGTATACAAATATAGTTTTTCTTTTTTTTTAAACTCCAAATTAAATCAATCCCAGTTATATGTCATTCTGCTTCAGTCTCACTAACAAGTTCGAAACTCATTTATAACTTTTCTCTAAGATGCAAACAAAAAATCAAATGATCACTTCTCTTTTGGACATCTAAACAAATTTCTCATCTGGTCTGCTTTTCTAGAAAACTTTGTTTTTGGAATATTCTACATCCCCATTTGTTTTGTTACTCATGGATAGTAAGTTTTGGTCCATGGTGCATGTATTTAATTGCAGACACAGTGCAAAGTGTTGGTCTCTTGGATTTCTCACTGAATATACACAAGGAATTAGTAAGGCTGAGGGGAAAATTTTTCTGATATGAGGCATCATGGGAAGTGTTTTGAGATGCTCCCTTGCAGATTCATGTATTATTTGAGTTTCATAATAAGTTAATATCTCACTTTATCACTAGTTAAACTTAATATGAATATAATAATGGCTGGAGACGGCTTAAATGGGTAATGAAGAAAAACTTTAATATAAGTTTAACATGACAGCAAATGTACAACGTTTCGATAAGGTTTTG